ACGATGTCTACGCCAGTTGCAGAACCATCGCATCATTTCTTGATCAATATCCGCAACAGAAAAATGAAGATACACGGAAATCAAGCACGACAGACAGAGTTAGCGAAGATGAGGATAAACGTAGCGAAAAAACAGAACGAGTAAAGATATGTGAAACTGCATGGACAAATAATAATCAAGGATTAGTCACATCTAGCAGAGATTGTAAGTTGGAGTATCATCCACCAGCAACGTTGCATTCTTTCGATAAAGCTTTAGAACAATTGGATAGGCTGGTATCTCCAAAGATGAACATGCAGGAAAAATCGTCCAGTAAACGAACTTCTATCGTTTCAGCAGACTCTACATGTAAATCGCAACACAAACACTGGACGAATAATAACGATATAGCTACAACTAAAATGTCTAATAAAGGTGGAAGTCATCTTAGTCATATTGTAGAGAAGAATATACAGAAAACGCAAAAAGTTCCTGATTTAGTATCTGATAAAATAGGTTCGGATATGGTGCAAATTTCTGACCAAAGCAAGAAAAATCGTATAAAAATGAATTTAAACTCTTATTATAGTAAAAAACGAAACAATTATACGAAGTTAGATATTCACAAAAATATAGACTCTGATTACGTGAAATCGTATAATGATGAGAAGAACACAGATATTAAAGTTGATTCTATATCAAATAAAGATAAATACGCTAAACATAAAAATAATGGAAATGTACTGGCTGTGACTGAGACAACAAAGGCTGAAGAAAATGCGTGTAAAAGAAGATTGCACGAAACCGTAACTCCGGATTCTTCACAAAGAAGAAAGAAGATTTGTGCATTCGTCGATGAAAATAAAGAAATCGACAGGAAGAGAAGAAAGAAAATAAAGAAAAAGTTTCGAATATATTTCGGTAATAATATAAGTGTTAGCGAAGATGAGCAAGAACAAGATTTGTTGCGGAAACGGTTTAAAAGGAGAAGGAAAAAGGATTCTATTGATTCTTGTGATTTTGGAGTTTGTGCCGCTGAAAGAAATACAACCACGAATGGTTTAGAAATTCTTAGAGACATTCAGAAAGCTATACCTGACTCAACAATACATGAAGAATGTAATGAAGATACAGTTAAGGAAACTGCAGCAAATGTTGATGTAATTGATGAATCAGAAGAAGTTACCACTAATGAAAACATTAATACTGGTATTGGTCAGGTTGAATCTGTAACAAATGTAGTACAGATTGAAAGCAATGAATTACAAAGTGATGCATGTACTACAGATAGTGTTCAAACAAGTAAAAGGAAAGTATCTGAGAAGAAATTAATCAGTGCTTTTGACAAAAGTAATACTGTACAAGGTACAGTTGCATCAAATATTACAGAAATATTAACTACAATTGAACAGACAGAAGTCGGTATTTCTATAGCAGAAGAAGAAGCAAAGATAAAAACAGATACTACTACATTATCTTGTAGTACTTCAGAAGTATGTAGCTCCACTCAGGATGCATTAATTGGACATGAAAGTCCTTCACAATTTGAAGAAAGTAATTTAGATACAGAAAGTAATTTAGATACAGAAAGTCTTGATGAACTTCTTCATATGAGTTTTAATGAAACTTGCCAAATTATATCAAATGGAAATGTGCTTAGCATTCAAGAAACTGTTGATGAAGATTTAAGCCAAAATGTTATAAATAAAGATGTTGATGAAAATTCAAACTTGAAAGCATTTCCAGTACTACAAGCAATTGATGACCAAAATGTTAAGAAAGTGGTAAACCACATTGAAGAAAATAACAATATACATACAAAAGATGTGCAAGTACCCTTTGATGTGAAAAAAGATAATTCTATAAAGGACCTATGGAATGAGCTAAATAATCTGAATGAATCAGCAATGCAAGAATCTACATTGAATAATGCTATAGAAAAGGAAGATGCTCAAACCAATAAAGTATCTCAAGGTAGATTAAGAGTTTTATCCAGTGCAGAATTAGGTTCTAGATGGTGCCCTACACCTGTAAATGCTGTCACATCTACTGTTTCTCAGCTTCCTTCCACTAATACATTAACAATGTTACAAGCATTGGTAACAGAAACAGCACCCACGACAGTACCTACAGTTACTGCACCAGCTTCTATTGTAACAGCAGCTTTATTGGAGATATGTAAAATAATTAGAAAGTTACGTATAATTCCATCACTTTCGAAATTAGATTATGACAAGCAATTATTTACACAATTTGAAAAACTAAAGAAAATAATGAATACTGAAGATTATGTAAAACTAACATATGGAGTTATATATGTACTTAATAGAGAAATGTTAGGAAATTCTCCATTATCTTTCATAGAATTATTTCGTTATACACCATTACTTAAATCTTTATGTTTTCGCACTATGCATAACCATAGACACCGTTCGGTAAATTATTCCAATGGACATTCAAATATAATACCTACAGTTGTTTCAAGCCAAATAACGTCAAACCAAAATACACATTGCAATTCACAAGCATCACAGAATATGTGTGGCATATCTGTGCAATCTAGATTAAAAAGTTTACTTTCTGCTCATAATACACAAAATCAAACATCTACGAATATTACCTATAAACAACCACAGCAAAAGGTTTCAGAAGAAGTAGTTTTACGACCACAGAATAATTGTTTTCAAAGTACCATGTCAATGAACTCCACTGCTGCTAATAATAACAATATACAACAACAAAATTATAGGATTCGAACGCAAGAAACTTTTACTACTCAAAAAATTTCAAATACTAATTCTGCCAAACAAAAACAAATGATAAATATACATGCCATACAAGGTTTTCCTATACAGAATTCCTCATTGCCACCTATGAATCAGCTAGGAGGAAAACATATTTCTATACCTGTTACAAATGCTCCATTTATAAATCAGCAATATGCTCCACAGACTGTTTTTATACCACAAATAAATGCATTCTACAAAGCTAATATACCAAATTATCCGGTACAAAAAAATTTTAATTCAACACAAGTAAACACACAAAATATTGGTGTGTTATCTATAAATCAGCAATATCAAAATCTATATAGACAACCTGTTTGCAATATAGCAAAGGGGATTCAATTACAAAATGTTCAAGTACCAGTAAACTATATTCCACAACCTGTACAAACTATGTTTGCACCACCACATGTGCCTCAACCTGTGCCAAAGAATACAGAGCAAAATGAAAGAATACCTAAACAAGTATTTCCACAAGTCCAAGGTTCCATGAAGGTACCTGAGAAAATATCATATCAACATACACAGAATACTTACTCGTGTAAAACTAAACAACCAGTACTTCTTACAAGGAAGAAAGAAAACATGCAAGTTTCATTAGAATCAACAACAAAACTATTCGATATATTGAAATATCTTTCTGATATCCAAAAACTTATGTTATTAAAACAGGTAGACTTCTACTTTAATTGCACCACATGGTTAGCAGGGCAGTTTACATTTCAACAGTGGGAAAAAATTAATATGCAAAGATCTTTATTACTTAATTTTCAAACACTTTTAAGACATATTGTGGGAAAAACTATAAAAGGCCCATTATCAAATAAATCTCAAACAAATACGTTTGAAACAGATATACTTGCAAATATTAACATTCATGTTCCAAAAAGTGTACAAATTATAGTACAAGAAAATAAAGAAATAAGTTATCAACTTGATATATCTAAAATCGACAAAGAACAATGTAAAACCATGAATAGAAATCAAAATTTTATAAATCATGAGGAAAATGTAAATATCACATTAACACAAAATCAATCCAAAAAAGAACATGAAGTAACAGATAAACCACAAAATAAAGAACTGTCAGATCAAATGCAAGAATCAAAAATAGTAGGCAAAGAAGAAGTACAAAAAAGCAAGCCACTTGACAAACAATCACCACTGAAAAAACAAGAGGACAGTAGTCCAATTAATCCATTTTTAGAGACTCAAACAACATCCGATATTAACGTTCATCAAGATGAAATTGCAACGAAATTACAGGTATCCATGGATACATGCAATATGAATACTAAAGAACAGAATTTAGATGAACCAGAACAAATAGTTGAAGAAAAAACACTAACAGTGTCAGATTTAAAACAATCTAATAAAGATATGTTGCATCAGTCAAATACACATTCGGTTATTGTAGAAGTTTCTTCTAACACTGATCAAGTAACAGTTGTTGAAACTGCCACAGTTAATGAACTTAAAGTACTTAATGAAAACTTTAAAGAACATGAGCAACTTCAAGAAGAAAAACTTCATGTTACCAGTGTTAATACATCTCCATCATTAAAAGATACTACATGTGGAATATCAACAATTGCTTCACCTAAAATATTAGAAAAAATTGAACACCTTAATGACATAGACATGGGTAATTCTTCATTGGAAGAAAGTACTGTATCTCATATTGCAGATGTTAGAAGCATATCGCTAGAAACATTTGAAAAAATCGCACAATGTAACAATGTTCCTACAAACATTACAGAAGGAAACATTGAAGAGGAAGAAATTAAAGTATGTTTATGTTGCGGCAAACTTAGCACTGTAGCATGTTCAATCTGTTTAGAAGCTAAGTATTGTTCTAAAGAATGTTTTGAATTACATTGGCAAGATCATTATAAAGATTGTACACCCATTGAAAATAGTGTCATTTATAGTTGAAGCTTGATTATTCTCATTAAGACATCTTATTAATCTTTTACAACAAAAGTACTTCTATTTTGACTCTGTTATGTTAAACAGTATTTACTGCTACTGTTTTGTATTAAGATATAAGAATGTTAATATACATTTTTTTATAAAACAATTTTATAAATTATTAATTTTGTAAAAAAATAAAAAACAAAAAATAGTCAAACATTTATTTTTACTAGAATGTTTCACTTTATTTAATAATTTGTTTTATTACCACTTGAGTACTACAAATTAAAGGCACATATAGAATACATACTACATATTAAAAATTATATTAAACAGTTACTCTTCATAACCAATTCCAGGTACATAATTTACTTTGGGATTATGAAATAATGAATGTTTACCATCTCCCCAGGGAAAAGGCTGTATTGGAAAGAAAAGTAGTTAAATTGTTTTATAATATGGCTAAAGGTTTTTCTTATTTTAGCTCTTACCTTATTTATAATTTTCAAATAGGGATAAGCAATAAATTCCGGACGCTCTCTGTGGTGCTGCTGGCTGTTCAAATAACTGTTAACATTTGAAAGTATAATTAAAGGAAGACCTACGAAGATACTTATGTTTCTCCACAACGTTGCGCCTTCTAAAATTATATATAATAGTTCATTGTTATATAATACATATTTCTAACCTTAAGATTAAAACATTTAACGTGTATCAACGAAAAGTGCACAGAAAAAGAATGTTTTTTATTTATAATTTTGCAATAGAAAGCGCTGTGAAAACGGTATATTAAGAAATATAGACGAAGAAATAGTGCAAACGCAATAATGATATTCATCGTTGTCACGTTAATTCTTCATGCGTAATTTTTGAATGAAATTTTTTTATTAATTACTTTCTGCGCCCTTATGCGTCCTTTGTTCTACAGTTTTTACAATAGAATTGAAACCTCTGGTAAAGGTATGGCCACATTGTCCCAACTTAGGTATGTGCGCCATTGTACGTTCAATGCAGCTGCGGTGCTACTGATTTTCTTCTTACATTGCTACAACCACATCCTTGTCAAATGTAATTATAACATCTCACTGAAGATGCCGCTGAATGCTTCTCCATCAATAAAGTTAATATTACTCGTAGTTGATAAGAAGTATCAATCGGTATTTAAAAATTTCAGACAATTTAAACGTTTCAATTTATTTTTTTGCATTGATAATAATTAATCAATATTTAATCTGTACAATTTAAATAAACAAACAGGAAAATTGGAGGTATGTTAGGTTGACTAACAATAATAAATTTCTAGGAAATTTATACAAGTTTAATTAGATATTTACTCCTTATAACGGAAAGAAAAATCAATTGGTTTCATTTTTATGCGAAAAGATTGAAAACAAATGTTTCCACAGAATGGATTGGATTGGATTTTGTAGCTGTTCATTATTTTTATGCACTGTTACAGCCTACAGGTTGGTTTTAATTGAAGATAGATCACTTACGTCGGTATGTTAGTTTTATGGAAAAGCAACATTTGTAAGAAAATAGGGCTATCCTTGTGCGTCATCTGTACTCTTAAGTCACGTGATAGATGACCCGTAATTTTAATTCGTAATGATTTAAATCGTATTGTAGTACCAAGTAAGATGATATTCAGTTTTATTTTTTCTTTTAAATTAAATAGGAAAATTAATTTATTATTATGCTTCACAATAAAATATACAATTACATAAACCTGTAATTAAATAAAGTAAAAAATTAAGAACTGTTCGTGATCAAACATTCTTAATTTTTTCTTGTTATTTGCAAACTGTTTGATCGGATACGCATTTCTATGAAATTCAAAAATTGTTTATATGTGCTTTAGTAATTCAATGTAATCCAATAATAGATAAAATATTAATTTATAGTATTACCTTTTTAGATTAAAAAATCAGTCGTTATTGGTCTTTAAATTTAAATGATACTCCTTTTATATTT